CTTGGTGCCACTAGAAGAGAGAAATGGTTAAGCACTTAGACCGATTAGATAAAAAAATGAGAAGAAATTAAGAAAAATATGGACAAAATAGAGAAATCAAGGATTTTCATAATGAAGAAGAAGAAGAAGAAAGGACAAAACCAAAATAGTTTTATTTAAGAGATGTTATTTAAGTCTTTTTACACTTAGGCTGGTTCGCTTTCCGGGAAGTTATTTACCTATGTTCTTTTATTTCGCAAGTAAATAAGACAATGACCATTTTAGACATAAAAAGCCACTATTAAAAGGGGCAATTTTGATAACTTTCCCCCATGGGAAAATTACTTATCCACATAGGAGATGGGAGGAAAAATAAATTTTCCTTGGACCCCACACAAATCTAAAAAATGGGAACCAAAATCCATTAACCAACTTTCTCTCCTCTCAAAATCCAAAAAAAAAAAACAAGAATAGACCCTTAAGGGTATTTTGGGGTTGTGTAAAAGTAACTGAAAAAGATGACGTGGATAACCACCGGTATTCCATATCATCAATTAAAACATTTACCCTTACGTGGTTCGGGAATCTATCTATTAAATTATTTCTAATGATATTTGGGCTTTTGGTGTCTGATTAGAGGGTGACCCCTTGTACTTAGTATGGGGCCAATATTTTGATATTTTTAAATTTATGTTTTCTAAATTTTTAATAAATTTTGTTTGGCAGCCCTTTTCTATTTTGTAAGTTTAAAACATTATTTTATTTATTTTTTACGTATAAATTTGATACTTAATTTAAAAGATTTTTCAAAGAAACATAAATTTTTTTGACTAACAAAGAAAAAGCATATGAAAAGTAGTTATTCTTTCTAAAAGATGGGGTGTCATGTGATACGACTAGGCTAGGATTGTGTTAATAGTTCCACAAAATTTGTGTCAACGAAAACAGTTTTGGTCATATGGTGACAAGAACAAATGGTTTTGCCATGTGTCAAAATAGGAAGGAAGGCACCGTACTTCCTCCGAGATCATCTCTGCTAAGACTTTCTCCTTCCGTGACTAGTGGCGTAGTCTTTGTGTGCCTGTGACCTTAGAGCACTAATAACGAACTTAACTGGAGAAAGCGATCAGAACTATCCAAATCTCCTCTAAAATTTGTGATCAGAAAATCAAAATTGAAAAAACAAACAAGAAAGAACGGAAAGAATGCTAGGCTCAGACAGGCGAAAGGCATCGTTCGATACTATCCCTCTCCTGGACAATCGCTTCTCTACCTCTTCCTTTCGCACCTCCTCCTCCTCTACCTCTGCTAGATTGGAGACGGATGCCACCAATTACAGTTCTCGTTCTATCTTTCTTGGTGTTGACGTTGGTACGAGTAGCGCTCGTGCAGGTTCAATTCCTTCGTTCCCTCATTTTCTCTTCCAGTTTGATCATGTTAAATAGATGGATATTATTTGCTTTTGGTTTTTAATTGCAAATCTATTTGCTGTGATCATCTTGATGATTCGGTAATTTCTTTTTTTTATTGTTATATAAATGCGGATGTCATGATTCCTTTATTTTAAATAATTATTAAAATTTTAAAAATATTTATTAAATCACCCTATACATAATGATAATTACTGATTATCATTAATAAATACATACATACAGAAATAAACATTAACTGATTATTAATAACTTTTTGTGTTCATAATAACGTTTCTTAAAAATGATTATTAACATTAACAAACTATTATTAATTAATGTTTATTTGAAAACTAATACTATTCCATAATGATTGAATTTAATGACTGTTAATAGTTAACATCTAATGATTAGTTATTAATATTAATAACTAATGTTAATCATTAGTAATAATATATACTAACCATTAATATCAATTAATGTTAATGTGAATGTTGTAATATTAATGATACTAATGTTAACATTAATAACATAATGATAGCATTAGTTAACATATTATCATTATCATTAACGATAGTTATTAGTGTTATTATATTATTAGTATATTATTAATATTAATAATAATATTAATTAATGATAGTAATTAGTGATACTAATGATATAATAATTATAATCATTAATATTAATGTTAATAATAATATTATTATTAATAGTTATTATAATGTTAACATTAATAATCAGTCAATAATAAAATTATATCATTAGTAATGATTATAATCTAATAAATTATATTAATAATATATAGTAATGATATAATCATTATTGATCATTAATATATAGGTTGATAATGTGAATATTATTATCATTAATACCAATATTAATATTATTATTATTAACATTAATATCATTAATGACATTAATGATTTAACATTATCATTAATATCACTAATGGTTCATTAATAGTATTATACTATTAATAATAGTATCATTAATAGTACTATTATCATTAAAAATATTAATGAAATACTAGTACTATTAATAGTATTAATGATAGTATTAGTATTAATGATACTATTACTAATATTATCATTAATTAATACTATTACTATTATTAGTACTATCATTAATTGTAATAGTATTACTAATACTAATACTATTAATAGTAATATTATCATTAACGATAGTACTAATAATGATGCTAGTACTAATACTACTACTAATATTATCATCAATACTATCATTATTAATACTATTAATGTAATGGTACCATTATTAATTTGTATTAATGATACTCTCATTATTAGTTTTATTACTATTATAATATTATAATAGTATTATTATTTTACAATAATATAATAATATTATATTATATTATAGTAAATTTTGTTTAAAATTTACTATTTATTTGGAATATCTAATTTAAGTTTGTTATTTAATGATAGTATATTGATAGTATTAATATAATACTAATATTATATTGTTAGTAATGTTATCATTAATGATAGTAATGATATTATCATTATAATATTAATAATACTTATACTAATATTATGATAAAATTAATATTAATATAATACAAAAGCGAAAGCCCTATCTCCTCATTCGCCCGACATCCTTTTCTTAAGAAGAAAAGATCCGAGCCGATTTCAGTCGATTGGATACCTCTAGTCAATCTCTACCAACTCCTTTCAAAGCTGGGAATTCCATATCTTTATATATTGGCCTATTCGAGTAGGTTATTACATTCCAATTATATTAACCATTAATGATTAACTATAATATTATATTTATTAATATATTACTAATAAATATTAACATTATCATTACTAACAGTATCTATTATTAATAATGATTAATATTAAACATTACCCTGTACTGATAGATAACCATTATTAATTAATAATTATAATATTAATGCAATTTATTATTAATATCATAATGTTTAATACAATTATGGTTCTATAAAGGTAACCGTTATGTAATAATGATAACCCGGTCTAATGAAGACTAACAATAGTTATATATTAATGTTAATCATAACATTAATATTATTTGTTGTTGAAAAACTAATACTATTCCAAAATAGATTGTCAATTACCAATTAAATATTAAATAACAAACTTAAATTAGATATTGCAAATAAGTAGTAAATTTTAAACAAAAGTTACACCCTATACTTAATAAGGTGTGTTAAACAAACTTTATTTGTTCAAAACATAGCTTCTCAATAATTATTAGTATATGGATAATTTTCTTTTGTTATGATACGTAAAGGGTTAGTGATTACCTAAGATTGATAGAATGTAGATAACCACTTTTGCATTTTTTGCATTTTTTTAGGAATTGATTGAAAATGGTAGTAGTGGGTTGTGGCTTTAATAACTTCTCAGAAAATGCCATAGCCCACATGTCTAGCTTTTCAAAAAAATGAGAAGACCATGTGTTTGAATGGTGGGGAGTTGTAGCCTGATAGTAGTTTGTGCCTTTAGCAAGAATTTCTTAGAAATTGCCACATGTAGCTTTCTAGAAAAGAAGGCCACTTATCTAAATGGTGGTAATGGGCTGTGGGCATTAACAACAACTTCTCAAAAAAAAGCATTGCGCTAAATTTGAAAAAGCCTGTTTGAATGGTGGGGGTTGTAGTCTGAAATATATATATAACCATTGAGCCAAATGACCAAACCCACAAAGACCCAAATTCCTCTTTAATAAACTTATAGTTGGCAATTCATCAAACAACTACAATTCATCCACTTTCGGCCCAACTACCATTTTGATAAAGAGTTGTTTGATAATCCTTTCAACAACAAGCCCGATAGTATCATATGCATGGCATGCATTAGGACTTGCTCTTGGACAAAGAGGCTCACCAAAGATAAGCTCATATAGACCTGTATTGACGTGATTAAACCATGGATCATTAACGCTAATCTCCATCTCATGCATTCAGTTCTCTTCATGATCAATTGGTACAAATATCATCCGACCACTAGTGTTAGAATGTATTCAATGCATGCTTTTATGCATCGGTTTAATCAGTTTGATTCTACTCAGATTCTCGAACCTCATCCTGTGAGAAGCAATTGTCAGGATTAGAATTCCAAAATGCATTGGAGCCTTGAGTAGCAAAGTTGGTTTCAACGTGGTTTTCTTTAAACCCCCATTGCTTTTAAGTTATTTATTTGGATAAATGTAATTACCTAGATCACTTAAGTGCATTTATCCATGTCCTTTTATTTTTTTCAGGTAAATAAGACAGTGACCATTTTATTCATAGAAATCCATTATTAAAAGGGGCATTTTTGTCCATTCAAGTGTTGGATAACTTTTCCCTTATATGGAAAATTTATCACTTTATTTGGTAAATGATATAAAATATATTTTCCCTTATTAGTCAATGAAAATCAAAATAGCAAAATGCCATTAACCAATTTTCCCCCTTTCCATATAAAAAAAAGACCAAAACTGATCCAACCCGACTCAAACCGACCAAATCAATTTTGCTTAATATTAGGTCAGTTTCGGTTTTAAGTTAAGGTAACCCGACCAGATTGAATCGATTGGAATTTATCGTAGTGAACATGTTAGTGTCTTCACATTGGTGCCTACCTCGCAAAAAACCCAAAAATAAACCAAATGTTTATTCAGGTCATGCCCAAGAAGCTTACTCTCATAGATCGTTCGTACGTGAAGTGGGTGCTGGATAGCATAGATCAGTTGCAGTCGTTGAAACGCAACTCCTGTAAGCGTGTCAAGTGCTTGAGCACCCTTGGCGACACGGGGCATCGCCGGATGGAACCGGGCAACGTATACTCCTCTCCAGTATTCTGTTGAGATTTTACGAAACTGGTAGATCTTTTTGCTGCTCCAAATGGTGAGATCACCAATAACTTTGAGATCGGTGGTTTTGCTATGGCTGGAAGATGTTTGGTCCACACCATGACTTTGTGACAGAATAGGTTTGTTGGCTTAGTGAAAATGGCGGTACCACACTGGTTATACTGTTGGAGAGGGCGCTTGAGAGAGGAGTAACCGGAGCAGAGAGGTGAAGGGGCTGAGTTGGCAAGGGTTGTATAGTAATAGTTGGGCTTCTTTCCTTCTTCGAGGGGGAACAATGTTTGTCGTGATGGCTGTTAACACTGTTGGGAGTAAGGTTCAAAATTTCGAATTGTATCATTGGTTTAACGATACGCTCATACAGGGGTTGTATCAGGGTGTGACCTGGGTCTGGTTCAGAGGGTAGATCAGCCTTATACCGACCCCGATACACCCCCGGCTTGTATCAATATTTTAAACCTTGGTTGAGAGTAGTAGGGTTGAGGAGCTGGTGGGTATTGGCTTGAGGGGTGAAGGTCTTTGCACTAATCGTCAGAAATGCCACCGTTTATTTATCAATAGGGGCAACAAGATCCGGTGGTGGGTTTGGAGTCTCAACACCCTTCCACATTGCTTCATCAACCAGAGGCAAAATCTGTTTGAGGTTGTATTCGATCTCTGCCATTTGAGCTAGGATCAGTTCATGGTTCTTCTTGATTCGACTAGGATGAGCTTCGAGATTTGCTCTTCTTGAATCCATGGGATAGTCTGCTTTGATACCAAATGTTACGTATTCCTTTTCGGTGAGAGGAGAAATAGGTAACTCCCTCAAGCAATGGTGCAGAGCACCGCTCAAAGAGGGCTGAAACCAATAGAAGGCTTCAAACAAATAACTAAGGGAATAAAGTGATCGCTGATTTCATTATTCAAGCCATGCAAATATATAGAGAGGGTTGCCTCAGACCATTACAATAGAAAGCAAATAACAGAATATAAATGATTGCATCTGCCAATGGCTTCGTAACGACCTCAGATGCTTGCAGATGTGAGTAAGCATTGTAGCTGAAAGGCCATTGCTTGCTCCCTTGATGCGCATCACCCCAATGAATCTTCCACTGTGGTTACTTGCCAGATCTTTTGCCACGTGTCCTCTGCCACCAATGGCTCGTAACAAAAGCTGAAGCTGTGTGGATTGGATGTCCCTGTTTCGTTAGGAATGCAATGGGTTAAGGGTCAATCAAACGTTGCCCCTGTTGATCATCTTTTACATGTGGCTCCTACAGCTTAGCTTTTAGGGTCCCCTTTTATGGTAAAATGGTCAAACTAAGTGGAGGATTCCAATACTCTAGAAATCATCAAAGGATAACCTCTCAAGATCCTGCATCAGGTCCAGGTCACAAATAGATTCTAATCTTCTTGCACTTCATGCCCCCTTTTTCTGGATCTTGATTAAGAAGAGTAGCTTCCCATCTAGCTGTTGCTTCTGCCAAGATGATGTTAATTTGTATACCCTGAGAATCTTTCTTTAAACTTCTGTAGTGTTCATTAAACTCCTGTAGTTTCAACCATTGATGTTGATGCTATGTTAGAGCTGGGTACTGGAAAAAATAGTAGCTGATAAGATGATAATGTTATTCTTATTTACTATGTAACCGATCAATGAATGTTTTGTGAAATTTCTTCATAACTGCAAGTAACATAGTGAAAATTAATCTCTAGTTAGAAGGATTAATTTATAAAATTTGTAAGATCCACATTATATGATTTCATGCTGCTGGTCTTTGATTACTAGTTGTAAGTTCAAAAATTACATTGAACCAGTTGTTGTCTAAAAGAGCTTTCAACTGGTTATATTTAAATATTTATGCTTTAGCTATTATGGATGTTACCTTTTTTTCTTACCTATGGAGTATCAACAATTGACTCAGGTCTCTTTGATGGGAATGGAAAGCTTCTAGGTTCAGCTAGTAGTCCCATACAAATCTGGAAGGATGGTGACTGCATTGAGGTGACAAGCAATTTAAATTTTTTATCCTAATAATTCTTCAGTGGAATTGTTTTGTTGATCCACTGGACCAAGTAATATGTTGTATGAAGGTTTTGTCGCATTAAGAGATAATTGAGAAATTAGTAGAAAACTTCTTGCATTTTAAGATTTTATTCCATATAAATAGGACTCCAGTGGATGGTTTTTTCTGTTTCTTCTTTTTTTTTGATAAGAATATGATTTATTAATAAAACCAGAAGATGTACATAGAAGCTTTCCAAAAAGTAGGTGTGAGATGCAGCCTCAGATACAAATCGAATTACAATTGAGCCCAAAACATCTATTCCCTATGCATCCCCTTTCTTGTCTAAGTGATCTGCTATCCCATTAGCTGATCTCCTTTGCTAAAGGATCCGTACAGTCACATTAGTGGTAAACCATTTAAATCCTTTCACAGCTTCCCTATAAGTCCAAATGTTGTGTCAGGATTTGTCAACCACCCAATACCCAACTTAGAGTCTTCTTCAGTTACCAATCTGTCCACATTCATCTGTCTTGCAAACTACACCCCTTGTCCAACCGGGCTTGAATATAAAGCAATTATATGCCCTTCCACATCCTTGAAGACTGTTGTGAGGACTGTAAATTGCCCAAAAAGGTTGAACCTTGCTAGGGTTTCTAGGATGAAATTCAATTCTTTTAACAGTCCAAGAAATAGAGAATTGAAATTCTCATTAGAGAAACCAATTTCTCCTAGGATCGATCTAGCTTTAGGTTGCCCAATTTGATTTCCAAATTTGAATAGGTTTATACCTGATATGGAGACCACAAGTTGCAGCTCCCAAAGTGGTTGTTCACACCCAAATTCAAGCTCAAATCGGGCTCCAAGTTGAAGATGGCGCAACACCAATAGAGAAGTTGATCTTGCAATCTTTTGTGAATTGATTTTGCACTCCAAGTTTGTACTTTGTGTGCATCTATTAACCACTTGAGAAATTTGGGTTTTTGCTGGAACAACAGAGAAAATAAGAGAGAAAAGTTTCCTTCAATGGCCTGGTCGAACTAGGGTTTGGATGCTATGAGAATGGATAAGAATCTCTTTCTAGATTTCTCTTACTCTATATTTTATAGAGTTGACAAGACATAATGTCATTAGGAGTTTTGAAATCTTCGCTCTAACTTAATTAGAAGTTCTCTAATTTGGGAATACTCCTAATTACATTAGTAATAAAAAAAGACCAAGCTCATTAACAATTCGACCCAAGCAACCCACCCATGCACATGACGATTTAAACTAGTCATGTGACTAGTCTTATTAGCTCATAGAATGGATTAGGCCCATTACTTAAGTAGTTGTTGTTCACATTCCTTGCAAGTCCATTATACCTGAATATTGTATGGTGTGGGACCCACTAAGCTCTCATATCAATCTATATGGGTTTGGCCCATGTAGAGAACCACATGGACCGAATTCACTAGGTAAACCTAGTAAATCCCTAAGGCAATTGTATTGGGCTTAGAATGGGTCCAACACTTAAGTATAAGTGGTCTTTGGTTTCAGCCACCCAATGAAGCCCAAAGACAATGAATTAATGTAACAAATGGTTTCAGCCTAAATGATCTTTTGCTCTTAAATTCTCAGCCCAAAATATCTGTACACTACTCACAGGGAAGGACCTCTTCCCTGACTACTAAATGCAATGCCATACCCTCTGCTCAAATGGATCCCATGATTAAAATCTTTTGTAAACATTTTTCATAAAATAACCATTTATAAATATAAATACATTTTGCAAATTGATTTCAAAACACATTGAAATCCACTATCGACAGTTTTAGGTTTTCATCAAAGAGAGTGTAAACTAGGATATTCTCTTTGTCTGATAAAGGGGGTGATCCTATCACAATAAGCACCCACTCAAGTGATACTCCAAACTGTTCCAACGTACCTAGGTATTTGACCCTTAGTGGATCTCATTGGTTGGTACATCAAAAGCAGCCCAGTCCATCACTTAGTGCAATACACAGGCAAGGTTCAAAATTTCGATACGATACACAAACAAAGTTGTATTGTATCGGGCGTATCGTATTTGTATCAGTGGCTTAACGATACACCCTTATAGGGGTTGTATCGGGGTTTGACTTGATTAGACCAGTCTTAAACCGACCCCGCTAAACTAGTTTCAAAGAAAAAAAAGGGGAGACTGAGCTTCGTTATAGGCCAATATGCCCCTACTGGTGTATCAACTTGTATCGATATTTTAAACCTTGTACACAGAAACATTTTTACTAATACAAGTCTCATAAATGTCCAGTTTAAAGGGTAATACACAAAAAAATACCAAAAACACACAAAAAATAATAATGATATGATTTTATTCAATAACAAAAGTCATAATACATCAGTTTGATTGGAGCTGAGGGCATACACTGTCTAACAAAGACACCCCCTATTCTTGATGGCCTTGGGTTTCCAAGGCTGCTGCCATCAAAGTTTAGTTTTATGAACCCTTCTGTAGGCCTTGGAGCAAGCTTTGCCTTAGCTTTTGAATAGTTTGCCACAACTCCCCAATTCCTCCAAATACCACCGAAGGTAAACTAGGAAAAGAGATTTAAGAGTTTGGCCCAATGTATATCTCTTTTAATGAGACAATCCTAAATAACCTCCACCATTCTTTCTTTATCATTGAATATTCTAGCATTCTTTTCTTCTCAAATGGTCCAAATCACATCTCCATGGGATTCTCCCCTTCGCTTAAATTAGCTGAAGGTAGAAGTATTGTATGGGCCATTGATTTGCAAAGGTGATGTTCAACTATGCCCAAAGAGTACTAACAACCTTTTCCAAAGGCTTCCAACCATGGGATAGGAAGCAAATAAGTGGCAACAACTCTCACCATTAGCTTTACAAAGGGTACACCAATTAGGGGAAAGGCAAAGAGAAGTTGTCTTTTTTGTAGAATATCCATGTTCTTCAACTTTTCATGAAAGATTCCCTAACAGAGAGCATTGACCTAGGGTGGGATAGGTTTGGACCAAATTCTTTTGAAGGAAAGAAGAGGGAGAGGAAGATGAGCACAAGGAGGAAATGAAGGAAGCATAAGAGAAGACACCTTTAGGGTGAAGAGTCCAAACCCTAGAGTCAGGTAAGAAAGGATCCAAAGAAATAGGCTTAAGAATTTTAAAAAGCAGAGAAAGATAATCAAACTCATGATCCATTAGGTTTCTTTTGAACCTTAGATCCCAATTAATACCATTCGAAGTGGAAAGGGAGTCAAATCTTTGTACATGTTGATTTTTAAGCACAGAGAGGGACTACGAGGGAAAAAGGTCTTTAAGAGTAGAATTACCAATCCAAAGGTCTTCCCAGAATAAAACCTTATCTCAAGTACATGCATTGTACCTTATAAAGCTTAGAAACTTAGGGAGAATGCCACTATGAAGACAAAGTAGCCTATTGAGAAAGACCAACATTCCATGTGTATTTTCCACCACTTCATGCCAAAGTCTTCCCCTCTCTTAATGCCATCTCTAAAGCCACTTACCTAACAAGGTTAAATTCTTCTTCCCTATTTTCCCTATGCTTAAGCCCCCTTCTTTGCCTTTACACATAGTTCCCCAACTTATCAAAGATCCTTCCTACCGTCACTTGGTTCCCACAAAAAATCTATCATAGTTTTCTCTACATTCCACACCTTCCTTCTTGGCATGTTGAAGACTAAAAGGTAGTAGATTGGTAGGTTTTCTAGAGTGGGTTTTGTCAATGTTGAGCATACTTTTCTTGAAGAAATTTGCAAGGTGTAATTTCTCTTCCATGCTGCTAAACGTTGAGCATACTTTTCTACTATGGGTATCTAGAGCCTCCTTTCTTGAGTATTATCTTTTAAAAGCATGCCAAATATTTTAGTTGGTAAACAAGAGTTATAAATCTAAGGTTTAGAAGAGAGAAAGAGAGATGTGCCGAGAGGTGTGTGTTAGTTACTGTTAACACCCTCAAAAGTTCTTTATATTTTGAAAAGAGAAAATTACTAGGAAGACCCTACTTGGGCGTCCAAATATAGAGAGAGTACAAGAGAAGGAAAAGGCTAAAATACCCCTAACTAAGCATTCTCAACACTTCCCCTCAAGCTGAGCATATATGTCAATCATACCTAGTTTGGTAAGGTTCTTAGCAAACTTTGGATGGTGAACACCTTTAGTGAGGCAATCAGCTAGTTGGTCTTCTGACCTTACAAAAGGAAGGCAAATCTCTCTGCTAGCAATTTTTTCTCTAATAAAGTGTCTATCCACCTCAATATGCTTTTTATGATCATGTTGGACAGGATTGTGGGCAATATTTATGGTTGTTTGGTTGTCACAATATAGTCTCATTGGGACATTTGCTTGGAAGCCCATCTCAGTCAATAAGGTCTTCAACCAGAGTAGTTCAGACACTCAATGAACCATTGCCCTATACTCTGCCTCAGCACTAGAACGAGCAACAATAGATTGTTTCTTACTTCTCCATGAAACCACATTGCCTCCAACTAAGGCACAATAACTAGATGTAGATCTTCTATCGTCAATGGACCCTACCCAATCAACATCTGTGTAAGCCTCAATCTTTAGATGGCTGTGATCGGAACACAACATACCCTTGCTAGGGCATCCTTTCAGATAGGCTAAAATTCTATTAACTACTTGCATATGAGATGTCTTGGGTTCATGCATATATTGGCTAACCACTCCAGTAGCATAGGATATGTTAGGTCTAGTCAAATAGAGATACAGAAAGTGATTGGGGCTGTATTGGGATCTCTTTTAGCTTACAGGTATCACAAAATTCATTAAATCTCCTCATATTTGTAGAGATTTGTTGGTTAGAATTATTTGTTTCATTTGTTGAACCTGATCACATTAAAGTCCTCCCCAAGACACCATGCACTATCTTAAAAGATTTTTTTCTTGATGGAAGGGTATTGGAATGTAGGTCATTTGTATTGAGTGTGGGCACAATTGGGTGAATTGGTCAGTTTGTCCAGGTTATCTTTGTCCAATAGCCATAAAAAGATATCTTTCTTCATGTTTTGTCAGGTTATGTTCTTTTCTGTTTTGTGATATATATATATATGAATATGTAGGTTATGTGTTCTGTTTGTAATTTGGATTGAATTTCTCTTCATTTTTGGATTGTCTCTCTTTTGGGTTAGTTGGGTTGTCTATTTAACATCTTATTGGGGCTCTATTGGGAGTGGAGCTTTGATGCTCTTCCCTATGGGTGTAAACTACCAAACTAAACCACATTTAATCTTTATGACTTTTTTTATTCAGCAATACAAAAATTGATTCATTAGATTAAAAAAACAGAGATACAACAAGGAGTTGTGGGCAAAAACAAAGCCCAAATAGAAGCTATTCACTGTTTTCAGATCTCCTAATCCACCTTATTTAGATCATCATGTCTTTAGAAATTTTCTTGAATCGCCTAAATTCATTCCTTAACTTCCATATGATTCCTTCCCCCTTTTACAGCTAGCCCACAACTACGTTTGAATCACCTTCAATAATCAGCTTATTAATTCCCATTTCTTTATCTTTCTCTACTCCATAGACTGCTGCCAATAATTCTGATCTCACCGCATCTCCATGCTAAATAGGCCCCGAGTACAAAGCTAGAATGTTTCTATTTTCTTCCCTACTTACCCCACTAATACCCAATGGTTCAGGATTGCCCATACAGCTACCGTTAAAGTTTAATTTCTTTCACCCAACACATGGAGGAGACCAGGCCTCATGTACTATCTGTCTTCTAGATGAAGAACCTGCAATTATTCCCCATGATCTGAAGAAGTTTTCTACCTTAAAGTCAGCAAAAAGCTTTAAGGTGCTCACCCTATGTGCTACTTTTAGGGTAATCACCTCAATCACAGCTTCCTTCTTTCCTTGTCTTCAAAGATTCTTAGGTTCCTTTCCTTCTAAATTGTACAGATCACTGCTACTCTAGTGCATCTCCACATAATCCTGCCTCTTCTTTTAGGGCAGCTGAAAAATTGATAACTAAATACACCTACCAGACAATCAGGGGGAAAGCCAACTGCATCCAAAAAGAGATGAAAACCACTCCCAAATAGAATTAGCAAAAGGACAGGAGATCAAAAGATGAAAGTCAGTTTCACCATACAACTTACATAAAGAGAACCAACTTGGGGACAAGCACCAATTTGGTCTTTTCGTTTGAAGTAGATCATAGGTGTTAATGGAATCATGAAACACTTCCGAACAAAAAGCACCAAATTTTGGAGGGATGGGCTGAGACCATATCTCCTTAATAGGGAAAGGTGAGGGGTGGTGGAGATAAGAGAATTCAAAAAGGACTTATAGGAAAAAGAACCCGACTGATTAAGGGTTCACACTCTAGAATCTAAACCACCCTCCCCCAAAAATACTGAACTCAGTAGAAGAAGAAAAGAAGAGACATTGGAAATTTCAGATTCTCTCACGTTTCTAGTGAAGCCAAGGTTCCAACTCAGGTCTGAAAGGGATGGGGAAGAACTAATAAATTCACAAATAGGTTTACCTTTGAAACTAGAAAGCTCAAAGAGAGAAGGAAAAACCTCCGAAAGGGGGGATTCCCCTACCCAAATATCCTCTCAAAATCCAATTCTCTGACCCAAAGCCAAATCATACCTTATGTGATTGAGAAATACAGGAAGATTGCCATGGATAGCTTTCCAAGGAGCAGCCAAAGTAGCTCTATGTAAGCAGCCCGCATCCCAACCATTGTTTGACAGCCCATGGATACTTTAAATTACTTTAGTCCACAGCCTCTCCTTTTCTTTAGGGAATCTCCAAAGCCATTTACTCAACAAAGCCAAGTTCTTCAACTTAACATTTCCAATGCCCAGAGCCCCTTCAGCCTTTAGTTGCATCACCTTATACCATCTAACAAAATGATCTTTCTTCCCTTCACCAGGCTCCCAAAGGAAATTTCTCATTATCTTTTCAACTCTTTTTACCACAGTTTGAGGCATCCTAAAAACCGACATATAGTACACTGGGAGGTTCATTTAATCTTTATGACTTGTTTATGTCTTTCTTGTTATTTACCCCTCATACTGACAGCTTTAAATATGTAAGAATTTTGCTGTTACCAAAAAACCCTGTGAAATATTTAGCACCACTGATAACTTTTGAAACAGAGCTGACTCTCTTGCTAAACAAGGGGTAGAAAGGGAGCAATTGTTCTGGGTATCTTTGTAACATATTGTTGATTTTGGGACTGATATCATGGTCTTCAAATCAAAATTGTATTGTTTTTTCACGTATTATTTTAATAAAATCAAAGTTTTACTGATTAAAAAAAAACTTATTGTTGAAACAGCAATCTTCAACTGATATCTGGCATTCAATCTGTGCATCTGTAAAAGCAGCATGTTCTCTTGCAAATGTTGCAGGTGAAGAAGTAAGTGGTCTGGGATTTGCGGCTACTTGTTCACTTGGTTTGTGACCTTCTACTGATTCTTCATGCACATTCTCAAGTCTCTAGTTTTTATTTTTTAAAAGATATTATTTAATGTATTTTTTAGACTGTGTTGCTAAACTATTGACCTTGTTTTCTATTTGCAGTTGCAGTGGATGCTGATGGCTCTCCTGTTACAGTTTCTTGGAGTGGTGATACAAGGAGAAATATTATTGTGTGGATGGACCATAGAGCTGTCAAGCAAGCTGAACGGATAAATTCCTCTAATTCACCAGTGCTGCAATATTTTGGGGGATCAGTCTCCCCTGAAATGCAACCTCCAAAGGTACTTCAGCAACTGATTTGCTAATTTCTCATGTTGACCATATTCTATTGTCATAATGTTCATTCCTGTTCCTCTCTGCCTATTGGTAACAGTAAAACTTTGAACACTGGACTGTTCTTTTTGTTGTGCCCCTGAGATGCAACCTCCAAAGGTTCTTCTGCAGATGATTTATTAATTTCTCATAGATAACCATACTCTGTTGTCATAATGTTCATTCCTGTTCCTCTTTGTAGCATTTAGCCTAGATCTTGGTAATAGTAAAACCTTGAACACATGGTGTGGTGCCTAGATGCCAGTATGGATTTTAAATACTAGGTCCCAATGACATAACAGATCCAAGGTGTTTAAGGCACCATATTCAAATAAGGATTTGTCAACCCTCCTGAATAGCATATGCCAAGTAATAAAGCAATGTTTCCTATCTTTTGAGTGCATGATCCACTGGATTCCACTCTTCAACTGCAGATTTGTGGTTTTAGTGGCTATAGTATCATATTATTAGACATTTTAGGGCCTGAAAGCATTAGACCTTGTCCATGAAATTCCCTATTTCTATCCACAACTAGATCAATCTCACTTGATAAGCCTTAATATTAGATTCTGGTTGTCATACATGAGGGTGTTTCCTCTGGCAATCTCTGAAAAATTTCTGGGAGACAATTACCTCACAAGTGACGGGCAATATCAGAGAAATGAAAGTTCTACAAATTACTTTCTCATTTTATTGACAAGGAGTTGATACGGTGAGGATATTGACTCAAGGTAGTACCATAAAATTTGATTGGAATGAGCGTGGGCAAGGTTAGTGGTAAAGAAAAAAATATGGTAGAATTATATCATTTTTTAGGCCCTGTTTGCTTTTTGGGAAGTTAATTACTAGAAATACTTACCTGTGTAAGTGCATTTACCATGCTCTTTTATTTTCTAGGTAAATAAGACAATGACCATTTTAGCCATAAAATGCCATTATTAAAAGGGGAAATTATGTTCCATCCAAGTGTTGGCAACTTTCTCCCCAGGTGGGAAAGTTACTTGCCCACCTGGGAGGTAAGTGATACCCAGGGAAAATAAATTTTCCATGGACCCTACATAAATCCGAAAATAGAACATGGGTATCTTGGTCAGTGGAAACCAAAATTCTATTGACCAACTTTGCCCCCTCTCAAAATCCAAAAAACGAATTGGCCCTTAAGGTCAAAAGTAGGGTTCAACAAAATACTATCAGGTTGAGTTGAATCAGAGTCAAACTAGACGAATTTTACTGAGTTGACTTGTGAGCCCAGTTGATTTAAAATACATTCAATGCCATTTACTTGGCTATTTCTGAGTTGAACTTTTGAGTTTTAAAACTATGGTAAGTAATAGTAAGAAATTTCAAAGAGAACTCTAATTTAGGATGAGTCAGATGGCCTCAAACTAGAGTCTTTAGTTTGTCATGTGAGAAGTCTAGTTCAGGATGAGAGTTGGACCAAGAAATTGGAGATGTCATTACCTTTGAGAAGAGTATGGAGTCATATGACCAAGAGGGAATAAATTGCCAACAAATTTATGTTTAATTTCCAACATCGTAATTTTCCCCAAAAATTGCTTAGTAACTTTATGTTCTAGTATTTCCTGTTGCTGGAGTCCACAATTTCCCATGTTTTTGCTTGAAACTAAAATACTATATTCCTAGCCTTTAGTTTGGCTATAATGCAGATTCAATAATGTCTTGATGGATCAGTGTTTGATTGTTTATGTATTAAAGTGTAGAGATTTTGTTTTTAATTGGTACACTATTATGAGTGTAGATATAGAGGATGGTTATGAGTTTCTATTTAGATTTGGGTCCCTTTTGTACAATTCTGTACTTCTACATTTAATAAAATATTTTTTGATTACTCATAAAAAATTCTATTTATTTTGAATTTTGAAATACATACATGTTTTTAAATAAGTTGATAGCAAACTAATTTTGCAGCTGTTATGGGTGAAAGAAAATTTGCAAGAGTCTTGGTCAATGGCATTTAGGTGGATGGATTTGAGTGATTGGTTATCATATAGGTAATCCATGCTAGCTACCTGATGTTTTTTTTTCTGTTTTATTTTTTAAAAGAAGATTTTTTTTGTTGGCTTCATGGGACTACACAACCGTGGGGAGGAGTAGCCCATCCCCCAAAGCCATAACCCCCTAAAATTGGTGCAGGCAGGATTTGGTCCCAAGTCTTTGCTACAACCAGCTGGCGACCTAACCAACCAACCAGTTGGAACCTTGCACTATCTGCCTAATGATATATAATCCTTTAAGTTCCATATTTATTTTATTGTACATAGTTTGGTGGATTATAAAGTATTTAATTTTGGTATCTGCTGTTGTTCTTGGTCTAATGAATTTATCCTGATGTATATTATCCTAGAGCAACAGGAGATGATACTAGGAGCCTGTGTACTACAATCTGCAAATGGACTTATCTTGGCCATGCACACATGGAACAACTCAATGAGAAAAATTCCCGAGATATGGAAGCTTGTGGATGGGATGATGACTTTTGGGAGGAAATTGGCTTGGGTGACCTTGTAGAAGGGCATCATGCTAAGATTGGTATACTCTTATGTCGTTTTATATATTTATTTATTCTTTTTCTATAGAATCTAGATTCTAGAATGACATCAATCCCCAAATATAAAAACTAAAAAGGAAAAACAGGAACTAAAAGTGGAAATTAACATTAGAAAGGATTAAACTTCTTGTTTCTTGTTTATGGATTAGTGGTTTTCTAGTCAGAATTGTAGTAACAAACAATTTTGTTGTCTTCAGTGCATTATGGTGCATAGTTGTAGGGAAAATGGGAAATTATTCTCAAGGAAGGAAATGCATTACACAACAAACCTGTTTGTTAGAAAGAATTGTTTGCATATGCAATTTTCAATGGGAAAATGGATTGGGGGGGTGTCTACAATCTTGTCATTATTTAGTGATATTAAATGTTTCTATAAAGGACTTCTTCGGGGCCATTAGGGATCTAAGACAAGGTGATTCACTTTCCCCCTTCCTATTCACTCTTGTTGCAGATGTGTTGAGTAGGCTCCTCCTGAGAGTAGAGAGTCTTCAATTGTTCAAAAAATGGAGAGTGGGAAAAGATACCCTTCTAGTGACCCACTTGCAATTTGTAGATGATACTATTATTTTTTGTGATGGGGAGAATAATCAATGGATTGAGGATTTAACTTTGGTGGCGAGACTATTTGAGAAACTTTGAAGGAACTAAGGTCCTGGGTGGTAGCTTTAGGGTGTGTCTGTAGTGAGTGGCTGATGAAGTACTTAGGTCTCACTTTAGGAACCAACCCTAAAACTGGTAGTTTTTGGAATCCAGTGGTGAAGAAAATAGAGAAAAGATTGGCGATGTGGAAAAGGAATTATATCTTGCTGGGAGAAAGGATATTATTGATTAAGTTCACCTTGGCTAATCTGTTTTTTTTTTTTTTTTTTTGATAAGATTCACCTTGGCTGATCTTCCTGTTTATTACCTTTGTTTTTAGAATGCCTCAAGCAATTGCTAGAAGAATTGAGAAGTTGATGAAGGATTTCCTATGGGAACCTGGGAAAGGAAAGGGGGATCATTTGGTTAGGTGGGAGTTTGTGAGTAGAAGGTTGATGGGACATTGGAGATAGGTAACATTGCTAAGAATAATTTAACTCTTCTTGGGAAATGGTTGTGGAGGTTTTCGGGAGACTTTGAAAAGTTTTGGCATGAAGTTGTGGTGAGCATTCATGGGCTCTTAGAAAATGGTTGGGATGTTAGTGTTCTACGCAAAGCTACCCTTATTTCTCCTTGTAAAGCAATTCATAGTACTTTTTCCCTGTTTCTTAATTCACATTAGGTATGATCTTTCTTTTGGCAACAAGATTAAATTCTGGAAAGATCTTTGTCTTGGGGAGTCCCCATTGAAAGAGGTGTTTCCTTCTCTTTATGCCATCTCTAATCTTAAAAATAAACCAGTCTCTGAGTTATTCCTACCTTCTTCTTTATCGCTTGGTTTTGATTGGAAGGTTTTAGGAGAAATCTGAGAGAGTCTGAGCTAGGTCTTGTTTCTGGTCTTCTAAACTTGTTGGATGGGGTGGGTGGTTCTAAACTTGGGGATCAATGAATTTGGGTTCCTAATTCTGTCATTTTGTGGGTAAGATTTCTTGTAGTTCATTTTTTTATATGTTATGTGAAGAAACTCCCTGATGTACCATTTTATTGTAGTCCTTATTGTATTGTTTCTCTTATTTATTATTATTTTCACTTCAGCCCTGCAAGGGCCTCTCTGTAAATTCTTTAAATTGTGTTGCCCTACAAGGGCCTCTCTGTAATTTCTTTAATTTCACTTTCTATATAAAGGACCCTTGGGGTAAGGTCGAATCATCCATTTCTTCATCCCCAAAATTCTGTATTCTGCTCTGGGTCTGTTGAGATGGTATTAGAGCAGGCTGCTCTATAATCTCTACCCTTTCCTTGCTCATTCGTTGGGCATATTAGGGTTTTTTGTTCTCAGGGTGTTTTGTCTGGTGTTAGGGCTGTTCTCTTTAATCCTAACCCTTGTTCCTCTTGAAAGCTTCTGTCTGGAAGGATTTCTGACCTGCTGTGTTGCCCAAAACGTTCTTCTTTCTCTCAAAAAATCAGCAGAAACTGACAAGTATTAGAGGAGTTCTGGTCTTCTCTCCTGGGTGGTAGCAAATTTGTTTTCTTCCTCCCCCCGTGTACTGATATCTCCAGGGCAGCAGCAGCTTTTCTCCTTGTGGTTCAGTTTTGAACAGTCACAGATTAAGGAATCTCAACAGTCTAGCTTCTTCTTCCCTCAACAACAGCAGTTTCGAACCTGGTTTCTTTCGCTTCTGACTGAGGAACTTCAACAGACATCGGGTCCTCTCTTCAAGCTGATCTGGAAAACTTCTCATTTCAGGTTGGTGCATCACACTATTGTCATAATCGACTATTATCAGTCCTTGGAACCCTAGTTTTTTATTTGCCCCAGGGATTTTCTTCTCTTGGTTATCAGTCCTTGGAACCCTAGTTTGTGCTGCCCTAATTCTGTGGTGTTTATTGGAGGATTTTTTATTCTTCTCTAAAGTTTCCTACTGAAGTTGCCTTGGATTTGTCTATATTTCATGCTTCAACCCTCATTTTACTTTTCTGAAGAATACTGTGTTTGGCTGAAGTAATTTTCTGCCTTGTTCATTGCTGATTTGAGTGCTTTTCCAACATCAGTGCTGCTATTTTGGGTTGTTTTTTTTTGCTCATTTATGATGGCTGAAAAGGTTGATTTTCTCCCTGTAAAATTTGATGGAACTAACTACAATATGTGGAAGTTCCATTTTGATTTCTATGTTGAGGGAAATGGACTTGAAGGTTACTTGAATGGGACTGTATGTAAACCTGATGAGGCTGAGGCTGATAGTAAAGCTTATACACAATGGAAGCTAGACAACGGAAAGTTATCTCCTAGATTTTGAGCTCCATTGTGCCTCACATTAGTGTCCTTATGAGAAGACTGAGGACTACCTATGAGATGTATGCCTATTTGAGAAGAGGTTTATCATCAGTCCAATATGTCATGTCAATATTAGTTTGAATATGAAATCTTTGCTTATTGCCAGGGGGACAAAAAGATACAAGAATACTATTCAGGCTTTATTGATCTCTGGGCTGAATACAGACTTGTTCATACTGAACCTTCTGATCCCATTGAATGTGACAAGTATTTGCAAAAACATTTTGAAAATAGGAACATTAACCAGTTTCTCATGAGGTTGAGACTTAAGTATGAAATAATCAAGTCAAATATTTTGAGTGAGGAACTCTTCTAGACTTAGACTCTATGATGTGAGAGTTGTTGAGAGAAGAAACTAGACTCTTAACTACTACAAACATAGAAGGGAAACATCCTAATTCAAAGATTGATATTGTTTTTCTTGTACGAGGGAATAAGAAATCTGGTGGAAAAGACCATTCTAAAACTTAATGCTATGAATGTAAAGGATATGGATATATATCCTTTCATTGCAAAAAGAAAAATGTCTGTACATATTGCAAACAATATGGACATATCATTCCAAATTGCCCAATTCATCCACCCAAGGGACCCCTGAAGAAGAATCGGCCATGAGCTTATCAGGCATCTGAGGGACGAGTGTCCGATACCCCTATTGCCAAGGGAGACTCTTCTGCTTCCATGAATAAGGAAGATATACAACAACTGGTATCCTCTGCCATCTCATCTGCCTTTTCTGCTATCGGCCTATCTAGTGAGTTCTCCGGTTATTGCTCTTCTCCCTCTCACGTTTGGATAATTGATTGTGGTGCTACAAATCATACGACTGGGGCCTATCCTGAACCTTCAAACAAACTGTCTGAGACCAACCATAGACATATTGTCACTGCTAATGGTGAGAAACTTGACATCATTGGGAGTGATGACTTGTGTATCAAACTTTCCCCCTCAAATTTCTTGTCCCTTGCTAAAACCTTCCTTGTTCCTAAACTTACTGCCAACCTTATTTTAGTTGGTCAATTAGTTGATGAAGGTCATATTCTAACCTTTTCCTCTGATGGTTGTTTGATTTAGGACTAGTGCATTGGGAAGGTGAAAGGGAAGGGGCGTAGGATGGGCCGCTTGTTTGCATTGGAGTTTGAGAAATCTCCATCAGCATCATCCTCTGCTTTTTTGAGCTCTTCGACATTGAGTCCTGTTTTGAGTCAAAGAAAATATGTTTGGGATTTGTGGAATAAACGTTTGGGTCACCCAAATTCTGAAAAACTTAAATACTTGTTCGAATATGGTTTTATTAAAACTAAAATTCCTTTTATGAAATCCTTTGATACATGTTGTGTTTCTTGTTGTTTGAGTAAGATTCATATTTTACTGTTCACCCTCATGATAATATCCTTTGTCATGCCTCTTATCACCCTCATGATAGATCAAAACTGCCATTTGACAAGGCTGTCATTCATTAGACAACCCAGCACCACTACTGAATCTCCTTCTACAATCAAAACCAAGAGACCTCGCTAACCTCATTATTGTAGTACAATTCTTATTTCTGCTCTCATTGAATTTCAGTGACTTATGGAGCCTGACTATAAAGCTAGAATTGACCGTCTATCATCTCTAGAGGTGTCTCTTATACTGGAAGGGCCAGGACATGCATTATTTTGATTTTGGTTTATTATCATAATTCTGGGTTTTTTTGTTCATGTTGTAAAGTTTCTAAGTTTTACCTGCATTGTGCAACTCGAAATTGGGATGCTTTTTTTTATCTCTTATCTATATAGTTTATATGGTTTTGATCCTTACTAATAATAATTTCAGTTTATAAAGGGAAACAAAATAAGGAAAACCTGAATATTTGAATATGGTCCTCCCTTTCCTTTCCCATGCATTTATGTTTATATGTATATGCATGCATGTAAATATTACATGCATATTAATATTTTCTCTGCACCTCCAGTTAGGAAAACCTTTTATTTTTATTTTTATTTTTATTTTTATTTTCACATTTCTGCTAGACATATAAGAAAGTTCATGTTTATGCTAATTCTATTCCCATATGATAACCATTTAGTACTCCAAATGGTGCTCTTTAAGATTGGCAATATTTCATCTGCTTGGATTCCATTGGTAACTTTTCTATAACCAATGTGAACAGGGCGAAGTGTTGCATTTCCTGGCCATCCTTTGGGTTCTGGTCTTACTCCAGCTGCTGCGAAGGCAAGAAACTTTTAGTGAAGAATTCACATTGATTTCAAGTGGCGCTCCCTTGAGGTCCATTAACAGAGCAAACACATCTATTTTTGTTGAAAAATGACCATCACCTTTTTGTGGGCTTCACAGGGCGATTTTGCTTGAGATTGTCAAAGCAATTTTGCGCTTTCTTGATTGTTTTCCTCACAGGAGCATTGGAATTTTCAGGAGCTGGGCCTGTCAGTGGGAACTCCAGTTGGGACCTCATTGATTGATGCTCATGCTGGAGGGATGGGGATAATGGAAAGTGTGCCAGTATCACAATATGAGGAAAAAGGTTTTACATGCTTTTGGAATTATTTTAGTTGTCTAACATGAAAAGTACTATGTGTTTTTGATTTCTTTTTTGACGAAGCATTCTGTTTTTTTCAGAAAATGGCAAGGAAGCTATATGCCATCGTATGGTTTTAGTTTGTGGAACATTCACTTGCCACATGGCTATATCTCGGAATAAAGTTTCCATTCCAGGGTTGTGGGGACCATACTGGTCAGGTATGCTTAGACAGATCCTGTGATCATCATGTGGCTGATATGAAAGAATAAAGTTATCTTTGTTATATCTTTTTATGTTAACACCATACATCATACAAGGGCCGTTTGTGAAGAGGTTGACAAGTGGCAGCCTATAGTGGGATTACCAGCCTGAGGTTATATGAAAATTAGACAAGTTTAGGATCTTTCTCTATCTGCTTGTCTGTCTCATGTTTTGGAACTCAGTGATGTTTCTATAATCAGGTTGAGTACCCACTTACTGTTTGTTTCCATTGTTGGGAATCCAAAATTTATACAAGTATTAGGAGCTAGAAAATTTCCATTGATATTTTACATTATTTCTTTGTTTGTCTACCTATACAGAATATCCTAATTAATAAAGTGTAGATACATAATAGCATGGAACAAGAACATACTGTTAGAGAATCAAATTAAAGTTCCATACTATGGATTGTTAATATGGCACACATGCTTGCACATAGCCTATCAAATTGTTATTACCTAAGAACATTCTTTTGTATCTTCTATCTTTTATATCTTGTACTGTTGTGCATTAATGGGGTTGACAATAACTGTAATACTACAAAAGGCCCAATTAGGCCCATCAAATATGTGTATGCTAGGGGATCCCGTAAGCAGGCCCAATACCTACAAATGATGTAATCAGCAATGTATAAGTAGTCCAAATAATGAGAAGGCATCGAGAGTTTTCCCTCCAAACTTCCTCTTTCTCTATCTCCTCAATATTTCAGGAGGCAGAGTCTCCCTTGAATAAGAACTCGAGGTGAGTTGGTGATCAATTCTGGTATCTGTAGAGCTTCGATCTACCATGCCTAATACCAGATAGGAACAAGTTGACTGGATCATAGTGTGAAAGGATGACAGCAACAGTAGGCGGAGGATGAATCAAAGAGTTTCAGCTAAGGCAGTGGTAGGAGGTTTGGAGGAAATTTCTCGTGAACAGTCAAGATGGACTTTCTGATCTTCAATGGTGAAGATCCTCTCTCTTGGATCTACTGTGCAGAGAGATATTTCGAACCCTACGAGGTTCCAAGTCATTAGAGAGTTGCAGTGGCTTTAGTTTATATGGAAGGCAAAGCTATCCACTAGTTCCAGTGGTATAAGTTCTCACATCCTTGATTGAACTGGAATGATTTTACAGGAGGCTCTGTGTTATCCAGACCATCCTCTTTTGAAGACTTGGAGAAGGTGCTAGCCAAGCTTCAGTAGGCAGGATTGGTCTGAGATTACCAGGTAAATTTGAGAGGTTGCAACGTGAGTACATAGCAGGCATGAGAATGCTCTTGTTGGCTACTCTGTGGGAGGTCTTTGGGAAGAAATCAGGCTGGAAGTGAAGGCTATGCAGTCTATGACTGTTCCCACCACTGTTGGTCTCTCCAGAGTCCAGAATCCACAAGGAAAGACTAATAAATGGCCTAAGGAGAGTGAATTGAGTGGTAGGAACGGTCCTAAAGATTCTACCCAGCTGTCCTGAGTTCTATGAAAGTAGTAAGCTTCCGATGGTACTAGCTAGCTTAGGCCACATTCCTCTGAAGAAATTGTCGTGGTTGGAGAGGTCCACTAGGAAAGGGGCTCTGCTATAACTGTGATGTAAAGTTTTCCTGGGGCAGAGGTGCACGTGGTAGCAAGTATTCATTTTAAAAGTCAATCTGGAAGAAGATGATGAAAGCGGTTAAGCAGATAGACCAGGAGAACTGGGCCAGGTGGATGAATCGGAAGTGCTGGTTATCTCTTTACAGGTCCTTACCAGTCTGCATTTGGCCCAAAAGATGCAAATTGTGGGTTTACTTATGGGCTTCTGCATTTTGGTTCTAATCAATATCGCACCCTTCATTTTGTTACTACAGTGCTCGAGGGAAGCCCTATCATCTAATGGGATTTGGTATAGGCCTGCTTCATCAAGAGAAGCTACAAACCCTTGTTTAGCCAAACTATCCACCAAACTGTTGGCTGATCTTCTAACCCAATTAACTTGAATCAACATTTTGAACCTCCTAAGATCACTCCTTAGGTTCCATGATACTCCTCCTTTCTTTAACCAGTTCACAACTGTTTTGGAATCACTTTCAATAGTTAGCCTTTCAAAACCCATTTCCTTGGCTTTCTCAAGCCCAAAAACAGCTGCTAAGAATTCTGTTGATGCCACATCACTTTGCCCAGATGGACTTGAGAAGAAGTCACATATATTACCTTCCTCATCCCTTATAACTCCTCCAATTCCAGTGGGGCCTGGATTGCCTACACTACTCCCATTGAAATTCAGTTTCAACCAGCCACAAGGTGGGGGAGACCAGACCGCTGTTGCAATCTGTCTTCTAGAAGATGAGGCAGCTATAGCCCCCCAAGCTCTGAAGAAATCATTAATCTTAAAATCTGAGAACAAATTCATGGTCTTAACCCAATGTGCCACTCTTAGGGTTATGACCCCAATCAGTGCTTCCTTATTCCTCCCCAAAAATTCTAGAGTTTCTTTCCTCCTAGAAAGTCCAAATAATTGCTTCCCTTGTGCATTTCCACATCAAAGTACCTCCTTTAGTAGAACACCTACAAATAGAAGGATTAGACAACCCTCCCAAGTTAACAGGAGAGAGCCACTTGCAACAAAAAAAGTGAAGCAAACCACTCCCAGATAAAAGCCAACTAAAGGACAGAAGATTAGAAGATGAATTGCAGTCGTCTCACCATGAAACACTTCCCAACAGAAAGCACCAACTCTAGGAGGGATGAGAGAACACCATGTTTCCTTGACAGGGAAAGTAGGGGAAAAGAAAGGTGAGGAAGCTACAAGGGAGTTAAAAAAAGGATTTACAAGTGAAAGTCCTAGCTGAATTAAGGGTCCAGACCCTTCTATCCACGCTTCCATCCCCAAGGACCATTGGATTCAACAAAGAGAGCAAAGAGCAAAGCAGAAACAAGGGGAATTTTAGATCCTCTAAGATTCCTAATGAGGCCCAAGTTCTAGTTTAGCTCAGAAGGAGAGGAAGAGGAGAAAATGAATTAAGCCACCAGTCCGCCTTTGAGAATGGAAGGGAAGATCTCCGTCAAAGGGGTCTCCCCAACCCAAATATCTTCCCAAAACCTAATCTTCTTACCCAAGACCAAGTCATTCCTGATGTGACTGATGAGAACAGGAAGACAGTTGTGGATGGCTTTCCAAGGTAGCTCTATGAAGGCAACCAACATCCCATCCATTGTTTGACAACCAATGAACACTTGCTACCACTTTATGCCAAAGCCTATCGCTCTCCCTCGGGAGCCTCCAAAGCCACTTCTTCAATAAGGCCCAATTTTTCATTCTAATGTTCCAATCCCCAACCCTCCTGCCTTCAACTTCGACACCTTTTTTTTTGAAAGGTAAGAAAAAAAATTATTGAAAGAAAAAGCTTGGGTACAACGAACAAGGTGTTAAGAAAACACCCACCCTTCAACAACAAAAACAAACAACACATTAGGAGCACAAATTCTAAAACACACCAAATTGAGGGTAAAATAGATGAAAGCCACCATGAGAACAAACAATTTAAAAAAGCATTTCGTCTTGTCCATCTCCTTCGGCTCCTTCATTCCTTGCCTCTCCTCCTCTCCTAGTTACCTTCTTCTTCAAGCTTTCTTCCCTCTTGCTTTTTCAAAGGTTTCGAAAGCCTTTTTGGCGAACTCCTTTCCTACCCAAAGAAACAGCCCTAAACCTTGACTGATGAAGTTGTAATTGTCCCCTTTTCACTAACTCAATTACCCCTTTCCTCCTTGTCACCATCCTCTGGCCTTGACTCCAAATCTTCTATAGCAGCCCATAGTTTTCAAGGCGCCAAGGTGAGGCTAGGCGACTGGGGGGTGCCTTGTTGCCTAGTCGCCTAGGCAATGGATTTTTTTATGTAAAAAACATAGATCCTAGGGTAGTTCCCTAGGTACCATAACCATATTTCTTCAATAATTATTCATGATTTTCATAAGAAAAGTATAAATTTCATATTAAAGTATAAAAAATCAACATATTCATGAGAAGAAAAGGAAGAAGGAAAATAAAATTCAAAAAATATAGGGGATGAACCCTTATTTTTGTTATGGGAAAAGAAGAAAATAAAAAGTATTGGTGGTAGTAGTAGTAGAAGAAGAAGAATATATGGAAGAGGAAAATGTGCTGATTAGATAAAATTTTAAGTTCTTCCTTACTTATTGGTTCACGTTTTCAAGTCTTTGAGGGTTCAATACAGCATTTAGCAATGTTTGTGTTGATTAAACCCTAATAAATAAGAAAAAATAAAAGAAATTAGTATATAAACACACAAAATGATTATTTTAGTTTAATAATGTCTATTTTATAATTATAATCTCAAAAAAAATGAATAAAATAGTATTTTATAGTAGGAAGTAGAAAACTGCTAGGCGATTAGGTGAGGCGAGCCTCAAAGGGCGCCTTGTCGTCTAGGCATCGCTTTGACAAGTATGGCAGCCAATGACTACTGTAGTTGAATCCCTTGAGAATCTTGGCATTTGGTTCCCCTAGTCTTCACTGTTTTCATCTTCATAGTTTTATCTCTTGAGCTTCTTTTCTTGCAAACATTCTTAACTTGTTGGTAGGACCAGCACCAATAAGACCATCTTTCAAACATGAGAAAACTTTTGACACATGGATAAGCTGGAACTTGCCTGACTCTCTTGTTTTCTTCAATAACTCTAAAGAGGAAGCATCCTTTTCCCTGGCCTCAGAGTTCCTCTTATGTCCTAGGTCGATTCCAAGTCTCCCAACTGGGACTTCAAAGATTAATTGCTCTTCTGGACACTGTTCCCCACCATTCTCGTCACTTATGCTCTCTTCTTCTTGTTGATTGCTTACTTCCAAACTCCTGTCTTCCCCTCCTTCAAATTCCCCTTCCCCCTTCTCTACACCTCTTCTGAGGTCCTTCCTCCCCTCTTACTCCCTCATCCTCTCCTTTCTCTACCCCAGACTCCTTACCTCCCCTGTTTCTCTCAACCTTGGA